CACATGCTTTACATATGAATGTGCCTCTACCCAGTACCTTGCGGCTTCTGAATATAGGCATTTACTTTTTTATAGTTCTTTGCATGATTCATGAAGCTCCGCACCTGCTACGCATTTCCGCCTCCGGCTCGATGAACCTGCTTTTGATTGATGGCGCATGATGATGACTGCGTTGGGAGGCTTGTGAACATGTTTTGGATACGTGGATGCCTAGAATTGTCGGGACCTGCTCTGGTTTCATGTTGCCAGACTGCAACCTTCAGGTGAAGGCTAAAAGGTTGACACTAGTGAGCAAATTGTCAGAATTGTATTCCAAGTGTAACAAGGTACAGTCCAAGGTTTTTCGTGCCAGGTGCCCAGACGAATCTGGAGATGTTTCACCGATGGCTTGGCTGGAGCCACTACTTGATAATTCGTTCACCTGTGTGTCAGTAAGCAGCCTTAACCTGGGTTTGATGACGATGGCCGATCAGCCAGGAAATTATTGACCCAGTCCCACGAATAACGCGGATTGCGCGTCACAAGACGGATATAACTTATCGACCAGGCGCAATTGCTTGTGACTCTTGTAGGCACCAGAAATCTTCGCTCGGCCAAGCTTATCTGCATTATACTGGGTGGAGTGTACTTGTTGACCGTGGTAACTCAAACCGGTCTTTGTCTGAATCAGGTGAGAACAATCAGCGCAAACCAACTGGTAGACGACGATCGTGCCAACACCTTCAAGGACGTGGACTAGACGGTGAACTAGCAAGCCAGATTTCGATTTGCAGCACTTGCCACATTCCTCACACGTGAGCCCCACAGGTCCATCCTGTGTACTGTTTCAGGGGCACCAGCTGGATCGTGTTATTCATTGTGTAAAGTAACCAGTACATTGGAAACAAACAGGGTGTTTGGCTCTATCGGGAGCTGCTGAACTCTCAGCTCATTCAAACTGACCTCCGGACTACATAGTTCGCACCACGCGGAGGTAGTCCAACGCGCTTATCAAAATAACTCTTCGTGATATCAAAAAGGAAACATTCAAGCGAGATCCATCTGTGTCTCCCGTTAATATCAGGCTAATTTTTAGATGTCTACTCCGCCTGTTTCAATCCGTTTTTGGTCATTTTTATTACACATAAGGGCTACTTGCTCTAAAACAGTTGCTTTTATTAGAAAAAGTCATAGCATTTGCTCGATTTAAATTGGTTCAGTACTGTTGTTTGACCAAGGTGTTCTGCTAGTTTACTCTTTCGTGTAAACAATAACCATGAGCCATCATATCAGAGATTTCTGTGTATTTGGTTGCTTGCGAAAACACTTGTCGTGTTGCGCCAGGTAACCAGTACTCTTGCGTATCAGTGACTGGGACAGGGTAGTCCATCGTCGTGTGTCCCGATGCTGTTTTTCAAATAGCTCATGACGAAAGAGGGGCCTTTGTACCATTTTGCTAAACTCGAATGACAACCATACAACAACACGGTATAACAAGAAATTACATCTTCTCATGACAGGAGAGACACCGGTAACCTCTGGGCAGTCGAGGACCACAATGAATCTCGCACATAAAGACCCTACTGGTAAGAACACAATCTCCCAGAGTGTATACAATAAGAAGAATAAAAGTGCTTTCTCGATGGCATCCTACGGGGGATTGATATACGATGTTAGCTTATGCTCTTCATCCGCTGTGCCTGACATCGCATTCATGTGATTGTCTTCTTTTCTCTTCGAGTCAGCTAACGCATTAATAAAATTACGCCCTGCTAGTCATTTCTGCCAAATTATGGACTAATTTTGTCACTGCACTGGAAAGACCTTTTTCGCCCTCTTATAAGAGTCATAACTCTCTAGGTGCACTAACAACATATCGCGTTTTGTGAGAATTGCAGCATGAAAAACATGCCAGCTGTGCTTTCAGTAGAGGAGAGATAATGATTCATATTTCGGTGAAATCGGATGAGTGAGGTCTTGGTTTGATGACACACACTCCCACAAGTGAGTGTCCGTAAGGGATAGGAATCTTTGAGGGAATTCGGTCCTTTCACCCATCAGGGATATCATCCCTCGAGAAAGCAACAAACATGATCAGTGCATGACATGGTAAGTGTTCCTCTATCTTTCGTTGTGGCGAACCAAGATGTTCGAGGCCCAAGTTTAGTTCTACAGGTTATCTCTGGTCCACATCCCTGGAAGTGACCGTAAAGCCTGTCGTACAAAGGGGTACCTCACAGCCACTGTGTACTTCACCGAACCAGAGAACTTACCTCGGGGCCTTAGATGACCGCGTCAAGGGAAATATGCTTATTCCTGTCCCTCAAAGATTCACCGCATACCGTTAACCTCTGTCGAAAAGACTTTAAGATTAACCGCTCAACTTATGCAAACCTATATGTGATATCCAACAGGGGGACTGTAGTAATATCTGGAAATACCAGAACCACAGGACGTCATTCGTTGCTCTGTAGAGGTATATATGTACATCAGACGCTTCTCGATAACCCGCTGCAAGCCACCAATAACTTGAAAAAGTGACTAGCTACCTAAAGCTGAAATACCTAACTGGGAATGTTGTCGGTAGTGACGAATGACTTCAAAGTGCAAACAGACGAGGTCTTTTCAGAAAACGTTTCACTGGAGGCATCAACTGCGATGAAGCCAACGATTACCCTATCACGGATGAACATTAGTACGGGGTGGAGTTTCGACAGGGGGTCACGATTTCTTCCTTTGGTGAAACGATATATCTTCCTAATTGAGAGCTGCGTACCCTGTTTCAGAAATGAACCCCCGTGCGGGATCCTCATCAAGATACGTATATATTTTATCATTCTTTCTAAACTACCTCTCAATGCTACATATCACTAAAAAAATCAATCCTGTTTATACAAACCTCAGGCGAATCACCAAACTGAACTTGCTGTGAAATAGGAAGACAGCTGCAACTTCAGACCGCCTACCCAGGATACCCTGTCTTCTTGAGGAATACAGTTCAAGAATCCTCATTGGCCAAGTTTAAAACCACATCCCGATGATGACAGTTCAGGCCAACTTCACCAAATTTGGAATTTTAATTCTGCAGTCCATCACCATTCCTCCTTTTGTCGAAATACATTCAGCTAAGTAGGATAGGAAAGTAACCAATATGCCGACTTTGGCTTATTGGAGAATATTGTGCAGAAAGTATAACGTAAGGAATCTTCTTGAAGATTCTTGAAGGTTGCCTAGAGCTCTTCAACAGCCCGAGACCGGTTCCGCCCTTCTTATTCAAGCTCATCAGGGCTATCGAAGTGTTTCCGCTAGTTTCTTTAAGAAAATATATTGCGATATTTCGAATATAGTACCAACCGTAACGCCAGGCGGCCTTGTGTAGCGCACTGAGTTGAAGAGGACCATGATAAACGGTAGATTCAGTTGGGAGTCATGTGAATCTATTTTTAAAACCAAAATGTTGTGCAAATGAATGTACTTTTCCAATACAGTAGGGCATACCTCCATAGTATTAGAGAGTCGACGAAAACTCCTGGAAAGCTTACTACCGCTTTTACCCCTCTTGAGACTCAGCTGGTGGACCAAGTTGCCGACCTAACGAATAGTGTTAAAAAATATTTTGATATCTTCCGTAACGTCTCGGCTGAACTATGAGATGGCCTTTATGCAGTATATTTAGTTGGAGAATATCATAACCGGGAGATTTAGCTGAGTCTCCCATGAAAACCCAGTCGATGTTCAAATGAGTGTATTTGTCAAAATCTGTCCGATTTGGGTTCAAGTAAAACATAAACTTGACGGAATCTTAGGTACTGCACCTACCTGATTAGCTCCAAGAAGGACGAAACCCGTCTTGGGCTGTTGAAGAGTTTTTAGCAGCCATATGCGTAGTGTGTTACGTTGCAGAATACCACGAGTGAGAAATTCGCGTGGGATTCAGCAGGGTCTGCTATCAATAACAAGAGAATTTGCAAATGAATGGCATCACGAAACACGTACGATTTGGTGTCTGACTAGGAAATATGCTTGGTGGAAATTTGGGGACTATGCTCAAATGATGGGCCCCAGAGAGAGGGAAACCAGTTGCGGGATGTTGAAAAATTTTCATCGATCGTGTAGGTAGTACGGTGAGCAAACAAACAGCGCTGCTGAAGAAGAGACACCAGGTGACAAAGTACGGTAGCTCGCCTCCACGGTCACAAAAAACATAACATAATACATTCTTACACCAATGATTTTTTACATAAATAAGTTCATCCATGCAAATTGTGACACTAAATAAACCTTTGGTGTCTTGTGAGCCTGTGCTTAGACCCTCGTCGAGAACCTATGAAGTAGTTTCAACCGCCCAAATTGGCGTCTGCTCCAAGACTTGAGGCGAAATGGGATGGAAATTGTGTGATCTCTAATGGAAAGTGTACAAAATGGTACAGTATATTTGCGAAGACGAACTGAAGTAACCTTATATCTATTTCATGCTAGATTTGCAACCTTTCTCAAAATACCCCACGCACATTTTTCACTCGTTCTCATGAGCGTATATCCGAAAAATCTGCCTTTTCTCACCACTAGAAAACAATCGACCAGCTCTTTATATATTTCGCTCACTGTTGAATTAAGAGTATATTTTCTACCGGTAGCACATCTATCTGATGTCAAATCATCAGGCACAGTACCGTTTATTTCCGCCCTTCCTGCTTTCTTTTGCTGTTCAAGGTCACCACCATGCGATAACCTTGGAAACGGGCACGTGTTTTGCGGTTGTGATAAGCGGACAAGTGTCAGTTCAGCTGAGCACTAAGAGTAGGTGTACACGATGTGAGCGGTATTCACACCATGTGTGAGAGCAGCAAAACATTCAGTCGCCGAAAATAATCAATACCTCAAAGACAATTAGCCATCCTGCCCGTTCTTAGTCTGTGTTAAGTGGTTAGAGTCGGGGAAACATCTAAGGGATCTTCATTTTGTCGTGAGACCACAGACTTTTTGATAGTTTTGACCCCCACATATTGTTTGATTCACAGTCAGTTTTTATCCAGATTGCCTGAGTAAATGTCTGGAAGTGTAGACACCTCGGGATGCAGGCACCAGATCCCTTCCCCGTTCAGCTTTATTCTTTCTTTTACAAAAAGGCTTTCAAATAAATCATGGTTGTACGGCAGTGAAGCATCGGTGTTGAACGCTGATGTCTTGCTGTTGGTGATGATTCCTGCAGCTAGTGATTCTTGCAGTGACGGAACTTTGTGCTAGTTTATCTGCTCCAGCTCGGTAACGAGATGATGGTTTGGAAATCCAGATCCTGTAGGTATGCGCTGAGGTCTCATATTCGACTTACCATGCACAATCGATCAAAACAAACCCCAAACAAAAAAGCGATATCAACGACAAATGTCTGACATTAGAAGTGCAACTGAGGTCGAATTATATCTAATCAGCCAGCATCTTTAAGCTTTTTTTCGAGGCTAAGCGAATCGTAACGAGCAACCACAACCCCCCAAGTGTAACTTTCGGGAACTTGCTCTTTGTCAAAATGGACAACTTCATGCATGGATTCATTGTTTGGGTGCATTAATTTGTGCGTCTAGGCTAGGTGTTGACACGCAGGTGCCCGGATCGGACTGCCCGAGATGCCAGTACACACACCTGCTACTACTATACTGATGAGTAAAACCCAAAAGCCACAGGCTTATGAAATGAGAAGTCGAAGTATTGTTGGCGTGAACGAAAAGACCTGATGCTTACCGGATATGAGTGCAATCAGATTCCACGTCAGACCGTTGCACGTAAATTTCACATGCAACTCGCAGCTCTTCAGTGGTAGACCTTACTAGCTGTGCTATTTATGAGTAAAATCCTCTTTTTAAGATCTGCCAAATCTCCATTTAATTCCTAGAAGCCTAAACCAAATCCCTTCCAGTAGCTGGACGATATCCACGCCATGGAAGTAGCATGAAGAATCCATTGGTGATACCGAAAAAACTGAATGTTAATCGATTAAGTAGGTATGTGGCGAATCAGGGTTTAGTTTAGGTTCAGTCAAGCTGTCTTTTGGGACACAAATTTGGATCAAATGAAGGCTATTTCAATCAAATCTTCACTCAACAAGTAATGGTAATCAATCTAGTATCCCCACTTTTCCAAGTGAAGAGGACTAATGAGTGTGGTATCGGTGGTTAATCCAAACAGAAGGCCTAAAACTCTCTTCAGCAGCATCTGCAAGGAACTGCTGAGACGCCTCAGATGCCGATAATTAGAGACTATACCATGGAGACGGTCTTGGAGCGCCAAAGAGTGAGCTGAGCCCGGGTCTTTCAACTGCATTCCAGTGAACCACGAAAGCTTCCTGACCTTGGTGTAACTGCGTACATGCTAAATTAAGTGAGAAACTAATAGAAGCGAGGTAAGTTTAGAGCCCAAAGGCTCCGAAATGTAAACGAAGCTCCTGACCGACCAAAATGATTACTAGAAACCGAACTAGAATTTTGAAACGGCGTGGTCGAATTTCCAGTGAAGAAATGCTAAGTGCAATCCGCACCCACATAACATTTTCTCCAACGGATAATGTCTTTCTTGTAAAAACACCACCTATATGGCTGCTGAAAACTCTTCGAGAGCCAACAACTGACTTCGCCCTTCTTCGGGCTCATCAGGTAGGTGTAGTCTCTAGTTCAGTCTGAGTATTCAGCAACTTCATCAGTAGTGTTCTTCACAAATGTGTACTGCAACAACTCAAACATCGTACCAACTAAAAAATAAGACGGCCTCTTCGCACCCCTCAGCTGAAGAACATCCTAAATGAGGGATTCACCTAGAGGTGACTTGAGCCTCCCGTGAGAACCAAGTCGGTGTGCAAGTGACTGTAAATCCGGGATGCTGCCTGTCTTCAAAAACAGTCTGACAAAAAGATATAAGAGCTTGAAAACTCTTCGCCAACAACTGACTTCGCCCTTCTTCGGGCTCATCAGGTAGGTGTAGTCTCTAGTTCAGTCTGAGTATTCAGCAACTTCATCAGTAGTGTTCTTCACAAATGTGTACTGCAACAACTCAAACATCGTACCAACTAAAAAATAAGACGGCCTCTTCGCACCCCTCAGCTGAAGAACATCCTAAATGAGGGATTCACCTAGAGGTGACTTGAGCCTCCCGTGAGAACCAAGTCGGTGTGCAAGTGACTGTAAATCCGGGATGCTGCCTGTCTTCAAAAACAGTCTGACAAAAAGATATAAGAGCTTGATTTGACAAGCTTGTCTCATAGACCTTCCTAAAAAGGGAGTTATTTTGGTCTCACATAAAAGCTGAACGAAAATGCTCAAACAGTGCTGTGGATTCTGCAGTTGCCAAGGCACGTCTTAGCGGAGTCCACAGTCAGAAAGCGATTAATTTTCAACTGATCCATGGTTGCTCCGAGCGTCGGCTGTCTGGAGTTCAAGTCCCTGTAGTGTCTCTGGGCCACTGGAGGGTTTACATGGGAATGAAACCCGAATCTAGTACTTCCACTTTTGGCGTGAACTCACCAAAATGTTCGCACCGGAATACGAGGAGGGCTGGTGAAAAGAGAATTGCGTGGAACAATCCTCCACCCGTCCCCAACTGTCGGGTTGATGTAGACGGTAAAGCCGTTTTTCTTGTCTTTCAACCGAACATATTAAGCTTCCAGCACAACGTGTTAGCAATCAGTATATTGTTGGTTGTATACACTTATCTGAGGTTTAAACAATGATCTCCTTGGAGCACAAAAGATCTGGTATCACTGAATAGTTAGCACACCGTTGTCTTGTCCAAAAGGCTGCGGGTTGCTTTGTGAATTATCGGGAATCGAGTTGTTTACTTTTATGCTGTTTCCTCCGCACTGTGGAGCGTATAGTATCCAAGTCAAGACTACAACACCAGTAGATGTGGCTACCTTGTTAATTAACCTGAAGCCATGACCTTTTGCTGTCTGATAGTCAAGGTCACCCGAAGACCACAGGTACTGAGAGTATCCTGTGAACAGTTTGTTGTTTTTCATCTCATGCGCACGGGTGCATGCTGGATCAGTAGGCTGCTATGAAGTGTGGAACTCTTCACTGTCAGTAAACAAGACCGTATCGGAAAGACACGTGTGTGGTTACGGTCTCCAGCCTGGACCGTCAAGGCAAGTGAGTGGAAGCAACTGAGTGACGAACGTTGAGGGGGTGGGTGGATGTGGCCTGTAGATGTTGTTGTGATGTTGATGGAAACTTCCGGTGTCCGTACGAAACTAATATATGATATTGATGACCTTTCCCTGCACAGAGTCGTACAGATTTGCCTCCGAGTTTGTTATATTTCATGGACCACCTTTTTGTTCAGAAAAATGAAGACAGTGAGGGAGCCGTCGTGGTTCCGGTTGAACCTCCGAATGGCCTCTCAAGAACACAGGAGCAGTTTTATCCAGGCTTAAGAGGTCATGATAGCACGTGATATAGTGTCATGGAGACGCCTTTTAAGCTTTGCTTAAGGGAAGTCGAACGAACTGCTAACGGATTGACCACCCTGATCAATACTTAGTCTAGAGTGTTACTGTTGCCAAAACAACACCATGTTGACTGTTTTCAAGCATATGGAAAATCGATTCCGCGTATAATGCAGGACCGATTCGGCAGGTGGTGTTCACCTTCCGGGGTGAACACATTTCTTCACATCAGATCACTCAATTAATTACTTCAAAAGCAGCTTCATGGGGACAATCATTTCAATAAGGACTGCTTATCGGTAATTCGGACAATAGGTTGCACATCACAAAGATGCCTTCGAGAGCGTACTACATGAACGACCTGTATAAAAGAACGCCGTATGAACGGTGTTCAGTATTGAAGATTAGTATCTAATTGCTAGGTCATGTTCAGTTAAATTCGATTATCTTATTCACAACGAACTGCATCTAGGTGACCACTGGTATCGAACAAGCCATCATGACGATGCTACGGCGAGCCAGTATCATAAGGCAGAAGTTGTTACAGTTCTGCTAACGCATCAGTTACCCGAGTTCGGAAGTGCTCGACATGACTGCAGTACTGACCATGACAAACCGGTCATTGTTAGAATAAGCCACAAGGCTAACATAACATATTTGTTATCTCTTTACACCACAAAGCCGTTCGTAATTCTCCTTCTAACCCTTTGCCCGCCCGATTACGACACCAAAACAACTTTGACATTTGGATTAGATTACTATTCACCTGCTTATTTCATTAAACTATCCCATAAAGTGCAACCTCCATCCGGTGGTTTACACACATGTGGTAAGTATTTTTATTAACAGCTCGTCAGGCACCTGCTCTTGTTCTGTTTGATCTCCTGGTGCCAGAGAAGACAGGCTATGATAAAAAGGTGAAACTAACTGCATGGCTGTTTCATTTTTGTTGAGAGGTATCCGAGTCACACATTCCACTGCCTTCTGCGGGATTTGAACCCTAACACTAGCTCATGATTGAAGAATTATGATTCTGTGTCCTGTCTGAGCGTAAGTCAAGCGTACTGCTCACAGCCATCCGCGCTTGACTATAGAACGGGCCCAACAGTTTGATGGTAGGTGAAGCCCACATCTCAACACCGAAATATTTACATGAAATATTGAAGTGGGTAAAATATAGCTTGCTTATTCAAAACAAACGAACCGGTTTCTTCTGGACCCACGTATTATCCCATGCATCTGGTGTTGCGCACTGTTGGGCGGCAAATTCCTATCGGAAGTCAGCCAACCATACGCAAAATCGAAGCAGACATAAACAGTCAGAATTGTCCTATGACTGATTATGAAAAAGCGCTGAACCGGATTGGTGTTTTACTGCGATCTCTTCCTGAATTTAGTATAGGATAAAAATTTTTATTCACTTTAAATGAACAGCATATGATGGTGAATAAGACTACCACTCTTCGGACTGGGCCTACCTTCTGTGTAAAAATACGCTGGACCTGGATAAGACATTCGGTTTAAGGTCATAATATTTATATAGCTACGTTAGTATGCAGACGAAGTATATACTCAACGGATTTTTCCCGACAACTGGGATTATTTACGAGAAAAAGGGTGTTTCATACAAAACAGCGGGAAGCAGATGAGCATCGATTCTTCTCCAGTCCTCTGGGCAACACGTACATTAGCTATAGTTTTATCTCAGTTCGAAAAAAACGTTTTCATGACATCAGCACACAGTGTTCGAATGAAGTTAGTTACTTTTCTTGATCAGCCAATCATGTTTTGCTCTCTACAAACATTTCCGTCTTAGTGCATGAAAGTTACTCTCGGCTCTGAATGCTAGTCAGCAGCTTGATCAAAATTTTGAATATTCCACTACAGACTTCGCCCTTTTTGGAGCTCATCGGTCAAGCCCAGTCCCGAAGTATTCATCAGTTTTATCTCCCACTTGAACACCAAACCGTGCGTACGATGTGGCAAGCACTCATTTGCATATTAACTTGGTCTTAACGGGAGACTCAGCTGTCTCTCGTTTATGATATTCTTCAACTAAATTTGCTGAAAAAGATTCACCCCATGTTTCAGATGAAGATATCAAAGCATGTTTCAAGGCTACTTATAAGTTGGCAACCAGGTCTGTCTACTAGGCCTCGAAAAGGGCGAAACAAGTAGCAAGCCATCCTAATTTCTCATCCTCCTTGTGAGTAGTATTGAAGTATGCTTGAATATAATGAATATTGTTCCAGCTGAAGCATGAGGCGATACATCCAGTGAAAGATTATTATGAGCGAGAAATTCAAGTGGATTTTATTAGAGTAGTTCATTGTATCTTGAGTTGTTTAGACAACCGTCAAATTCTTTTGATCGATCAAAGGCTCGTACATAGCACCACATTAGGGTCTGCGCAAACTACTTGCAGGCGTCTAGTGTTTCGGGACTGTTGAGTGACAAACTCCCCATAGTTTTACTGTTTTAACAAACCAGTTAAACATGGTTCCGTTGCGTTCGTATGGAGATCAAGCGTAAAAACCCTAATCTTATAAACCGAGTGGATGAAACAGTCGCCATCCACAAAAAGTGCACATACGTCACTCGACATGGGAACTCATATGTAGGTTGATGGCACGTTAATCCAGTCACTGGAAGCGATACGCGATCAGACGCATTATCAACCTCCGGGGTGCGACTATGGTCTTATCAAGCCAGAAAGCACGTACTTCTAAGGCAGCCTACACTGGGTACCGAAGTGACCTTCGGCTGCTCCAGTCAACCATTCAAGTCTGGTTGCCGTGGCATGCCAGACTGTGCTACTCGGCTGCACTTTTTAGTAGCGACAGACGAAGTTAACCAGGCACCGTATTCGGATTCGGAAAAGAATTAACCGCACGGGTGGAATAGTAAACTCCTTACCCTGGGATATGTACTGAGGTCTTAACCGGAATGTACTTTCACACATTAGCTAATATGTCATGTTTAATTTACATCCCGATAGTTCTACAAGATGCAGTGGTGGAAATTTGCCGCATAAGGGATTTTCTTCAAACATCTTAACTTTCGTGAAAAGCGCATACAGAAACAGTCAAATTGTCGTTTGTTGATCGATGCATCCGCCCATGTTAACGGCAATGGGAGAAAAAACTGTTCCTCGCTAAGGCGAAATAACGGTGGTGGTGGGGATGCACAGTAATTCTGCGGTGTGAGACTTGCACCCAAGTCTTATGGGCGTTTCACTGATAAGCTCAAGTGAAGTGTCAGTATCCCCTATTGAGGAGACGTACAGGCACAAAAAGTTCAGATGCTGCAGAATCAACCCTGATCTCAACACGGCTGATGTGAGCGCGCAGCGGACTCGGGAAGCTTGAACCGAAAAAAAGAGGAATCGGCGGAAACAAATCTTGTGGCGTGGTAGTAAACACCATAGTATTGGAGGCGTGATTCCTACCCTATTTGGACAGAAAAACAGAAAAAGAAAATGACAGCTAAGGTCATCTTGAAGTAAACAGCGCGTCTAAAGTTTGGACCAGTGCAGAAGTGCGGATGATTCACTCACCTTGTCTTGGTGTAATGCGCCCTTTTTCGAAAGATGCTTAGACAGTGGCACACAGGCTCTACTGGGGCCGAAGCCTGTTACAATGAGAAAACCTCATTTTGGACCTTGATTCAGCCGCGATAAGTGGTCCAGTCAGGGGCTTTTCGGAAGAACAAGGTAGGTAGTGCTCCAATGCACGGCTTGCTCGGTGCTTTCGGGGTTCGGGCATACTTTGTCGAGGTGACTGATTTATGTCTGTTCGGGGCTTGGCAGTGCTCCGAAATCCCGTCTGCTCTAGCAGGGTTGTTCCACTTATCCCTTCAGACTGGATTGAGTAAATTGAGGCACGGTGGGCCTGCAGCGCTCGCTACGATGTGCGCGAAAAAAATACCGCTGATCTGCAGTAAGGCTTTAAATTAGGGCAATCGGAATATCTATGATTACTGTAACCCGTACAGACTTGGGAATACGAAAAAGGAAGGAACTAATGCGCCACATGAAATCGATACCCAACCGCCTAAAGGGTTTGCTCATCATCATCATTGTCAGCTGTAATAACAGCACACTCGTCGTACAGTGGTTGTAGCTGCCGCAGTTTCGTTCACCAAGGATTTGGGGGCTGGGGGGGGGTAGATAGCTGCGCATTGGGTGTGGGAGCTGATAAATTGGTGCATAAATCCAGCACTGTCAGTGGGCTGTCAAGTGGGGTGGGTTGGAAAAGGAGCTAAGAATTGAAGGCAATAGCTCTGATGCACGAACGCCATTGAGGGCTTGACTGGGCCATGTCTGACAATGTCTCTAGCCATTGATGTGGCCCGTCTCGGGGTCCCCATCCAGGAAGACGGCAATTACCAGCGCAGCTGAGTTTACTGGTAATGGCTTTTATACCCGCTGCCAAGCCATTGTTTGACCACGTCTAGTTCTCCCAGCCTTCACCAGATACCCAACCGCCTAAAGGGTTTGCTCATCATCATCATTGTCAGCTGTAATAACAGCACACTCGTCGTACAGTGGTTGTAGCTGCCGCAGTTTCGTTCACCAAGGATTTGGGGGCTGGGGGGGGGTAGATAGCTGCGCATTGGGTGTGGGAGCTGATAAATTGGTGCATAAATCCAGCACTGTCAGTGGGCTGTCAAGTGGGGTGGGTTGGAAAAGGAGCTAAGAATTGAAGGCAATAGCTCTGATGCACGAACGCCATTGAGGGCTTGACTGGGCCATGTCTGACAATGTCTCTAGCCATTGATGTGGCCCGTCTCGGGGTCCCCATCCAGGAAGACGGCAATTACCAGCGCAGCTGAGTTTACTGGTAATGGCTTTTATACTCGCTGCCAAGCCATTGTTTGACCACGTCTAGTTCTCACAGCCTTCACCACTGTAATGAACCCAGATCAGCGCGAAATATGTTGTCATCATCAAAAGTGAGACTGTTTTCCTTAATTTAACGTCAGCCAGTAAAATTGTGGTTTCAAATTTTAAGACCGTTTAGGATGATATAGCGGCTCTACGGTGACTGACTGATCGAGTTACGCACCCGTGATGAAACACACTGTGAAGGCAAGAATTTCGTTTGAAAGATTGGCACGATAACTTTTGACTAGGCTGACTAGAACCGTGATGTTTCACGGACCCCAACTTTAGTTCTATGGACGTGATAGTCATTGGCTATGGATCAGCTGGTGGTTGACCTGTATGCTGAGCTTGATAATCGGCTTGCAAACTTTTCGTCAGCACACAAGGAGACATCGTTATTGTCCGGTCAGGTTGGTCTGGTTGAAAATTACCCGATTTTCTCCCAATAACATTATTACATAAATGACTCAAAGGAAGAATAAAACTAAACCGATGAATGAAGCTTTCTTCCGAGAAGTACATTCAAAGAGCTAGTCAATGCGTAACCACGTGATGCGGCTTCTCTGATTGAAGGATGAGCAGCGCTATTAACGGATTCACGGAGCGATACGCGGGACTGAAGCATTCGCCCAAGCTTCCCGGGCCGGGTTTGTTTTTAACGTTCAGCGGCCTCCGTTCACCTGAAAGATACGAGCGAAAAAAGGTGTAAGACTGCTCTTATGTTCGCAGTGTGCAAGGGTAAGCTTGCCAGCGCGAGGACTCAGAAAAGCGTCTAAAAGTGCTTTGAAACTGGGTACTAGGTGCACCGCCTTAAGCTTATGGAGTAGCAAGACGTGTGAGACTGTCGAATGCTTTTGAGACATCAGAAAATAGTGCATCCAATGTGAGTCCTTCGTCCTTAGCTGTTCATAAATTAGAGCATGTTCGTCAGACAAGAACGGTTTGGGAGGAACCCGTGTTGCACTGGGGATACCAGGTTGCTGGTACGCCTCAGAATGCGTGCGGTTTGCTAGTGAGGTTTATTGGCCTGAAGCTGCCAGGCGATTGTCGGCCACCAGTTTTGCTTTCTTCCAAGGAGAGAGAAGGTTTTTTTCGTCGAGCGACTGACGAAACACCAGGTGGAAATGCTTTGCCAGTGTGAGCGACGTTTTCCTCAACATGTTTTGAGGAACCTCGTCTGGCAGAAGGGGTTTGTGTTGTGCAAGAGTTGACGAATGTTCTCCTAAGTGAAGACCAAGTAACTTAGAGGTTGTTCGCAGTTACATCTTGACAAGATTGGATGTGACGAGGTCGCTGGGGCCAAACAGAGGCCTGCATAGTGTTCTCCGTAGACTTCAGATACCTCTATTCGGTCACTTAAGGGTTCCCCGTTTCTGTCCCTCAAGGAGACGGTTGGCTGATTTTTCCGGCGGCGTCTCATGTCCTTAAATAGCACATTTTTTGTTTTTCTGGGCAAATTCCAGTATCGTGGCCTGTTTTCGTCTGTTTAATTGGCGGATTTCTGATTTACAGAGATTCCCCTTTTTACAAAATGCTAGCTCGCCTTCTGTGTCACCTGTAGTCATCTTTCCGAAAAATAATTGGGGTTTTTTTTCAAGAAGACGTCAAATCCTTTTAGGTAGTTTTTGTCAATCCGACCGTGCAATGGTTTTTGGGACGAACGTCATGTCAGCCTCATGAATTGTTAGGAAAATGGTCCTGTATAACCCTTCCACTGAAGCTGGTCCCAGTTTTAACTGTTCAAGGGAGTTACTCATTTCTAGGGAGTCTGCATGGCAGAAGTTCCGTGTGCACGTCTGTGCCTCTGGACTTCCGACCCAGTAGCAGATGAAATCAAATGTCAGCACACAGCGATCACTATGTCTCAATGGAGATTTAATTAAGACTTAATCAACGAAGTATCTTTCATTGCCCATAATCAAAACCAGCAGGGATGGTAGTTGACCAGCGCAGTATCTGGTGGGTCCGACGATATGTTGAGTCCAAGCGTTCTGTTGAACGACTTCGGTCAGCTCCGATACAAAGCCTCCACTAGACCCTGTGCACTGGAGTTCTATCCAGGAGGCCTTTGGAGTGTTAAAATCACCTATCAGCAGATGTGTGAAGTGGTAGCTGGATTTGAGTTGCTCATGTGTTTGTATGGGGAACTGGTTATCTTCCGGTGGACTCGAAGGACAACGGTAGACCACGCCGAGATGAGAACTCGTCCCACACAGCGGGACTTGAATACACAGTGTGTCACAAGAGGGTGTAGGAGTGGTGTCGCAAATAACAATCGGGATGGGCGGGGCCGCATGTAAGTATAAACCTATCTCACCTTACCTACAGCGTTTCCAGTCAGCTCGGAAAATGGAGTAGCCGCCTATCAATAACTCCGCGTCAGAGGCATCAGGTGTGAGCCAGGTCTCTGTAGGGGCGATCATGGACGGCTGTTTAAGGCAAGCTGTTTAGTATCGCAAAGTTTGTTGAAAAACTGAGACAGTTTGTGGATAAGCACTTCAACACTATCTCTGATGCGTCCAAAGGTGGGTTCAGAGAGGTTAGCAGATTTAATGAGTGTACGCCGTGTTTGAGTCCAAGGTTTCGAGGGGCCCTCTACGGCGTACTCGTCTGCTTCCTGCCTTAGTTTTCCCGAGAACTGTCCTTTGTTTGTAGGGAAGTTTTCGCCCCTCGAGAATCTGTTTTGCGTGGGGCTTTTGCCTCTAATGGACGTAGTTTTCCCTCGTCGTTGAAAATTTTAATGACTGCTACGTGTAGCGTGTGCAATACCACTTTTTGAATGTCTGAATTTGCTGTTATTCATGGAGCATGCGTCTGTTTGGTTTCTCCGGCTTTCTAACGCGGTGTAACCGGGTAAGCCATCAGGTCGCTTGTGCGTTAGATGGCACCCCCAGAGGGTATTCCTACTGGTGGCAGTCCAAAGAGGCTCGTCTTCGTAGAGGACTGGACCTTGAATTTAGCTAACAGCTTCTTGATGGGGCGAGGTTTACGTGGCTTATTCGACCACAGTCACTTTTTTGTTTTTGTATGGTCTCCCAGGTCGCCAGCGATTAGCGTGACCAACTCGGTGTATGCAGGAATTTTCAGTGCTCTGTTTTCAGGTTTGTGGCTTTGGTTATCGGGGTCATGTCGGATCGGTCATGTCCACGATCGGAGAGGCTGTTTTTGAAGGAGTGGAGCTGGAGGCTGGCAGTGTCGCATTTTCCGTGTTATGCGCCTCCCCTCTAGGACTGTTTTGGCCCAGTTTTCACGTCCCTCGAGGATGACCCTTGGATATACGCTTGATCTTTGGGTGGGCCTTTTGAGTAATGACAGTGTGCTCCAAGATCCTCTGCACGGCAGTTGGTGTGCAGCCCAGCTTCCCTTTCCAAGTAAGTACTCTGCGCGAAGAGATCACTTTGAGGCTGTGACGAACCCACCAAGGATCAGTTGTGCTAGTTTCTTTAGCGTGTTTGTTCTGGAAAACGACCTTCAGATGATCAACCTGCTTTTCCTGTACTAGAGACACCGTAGAGGTCTTGGTGCCGCATCAGAGAGCTGGATAACCTTCTTCGCAGCCAACGGATCCGGGATGGATAGCGCTATGTGATCCTTTAGAGAAGAAAGTTCGTCATAGACTTTCGTCCAGGCAGCTCGATTCCTTGTGTATGTATCTTCCAGAGCTTTGGAAAGAAGTATCAGTTTTTTCTCGAGCATCCCTATTAAAATGGAACAGGCGCACTGGTCTTCCCCACTCGCTTTTGTTTTTGCTAGCTGTCTTGTTTGTTGTGGGATGCATCGCAACCCTAAGGTAGAGGCAGCTGGCATAAACAAACGGGTGAGGAAAGTTCAACACTTGGTTTATCTGGTCATCCTGAAAAAACGCAGCGTTTAGAAGGCCACCAGACCTGGCAAGCTTGACGTTGCTCTCCAAGTCTAGCATTCAACAGACGTCCATTTTGTCCCCATCTGTTGTGGTCCACTGATAGCTGTAAAGGGGAGCAGCTTGCAGTAACCTGGCTCATGATTGTAGGTGGCTGCACCGCAGAAATGGAGTGCAATCTGACACAGGTTCTCACTCAAAGGTAATGTTAGAGTGAAAAATTTGGTATATTGATACGTTTAACTCCATAAACAGATGAAACAGCGAAAGAATTCTTTCAAAAATTTGCAAAAATAAACTAATTTAGAACGTATCACACAGCTATATCTTGTTTAATCGCACTGCCATTCAGTCGCTCGTGATCGGACCGCCAAGTGTTCAACCAATGGTCGGAATTTCGAAGGCCAATGAGGCGCAAACAAGTGATGATTCC